AACCTGCAGAAGACAAAGTTAAGGGAAGCAGTCGTCAAGCTCCGGGCACCGGTGTGGTGCCGGCCGAAGGCTCTCCGATGCTTAAGTCAGCTAAGAAGGGTAACTTTTGCAGAGTAATAGTAAAAGGCAGAAAAGTAGTTACCCCTCTTACTAGGGTACTGTTCCCTTTTTATAGGGAAGTGAAAGTGGGAGGTTGGTGTAGATTTCCGATGTGGGACTCTGTGCAAGTCGCAGCGGTGGTGACACGTGTCATGAGAATTAGGTTTAACAGTTTGTGAGCTTTGGCAGTCGGGAGTTTCGGCAGGTGCTTGGCCCCTCGGAAGAGTGTCTTCCTTCGGCAGGAGAGAAGGCGTGTCTGCCTTGGTGCTGGTTGTTTTGAGACTGGATATGCTCGGTTGATTATGGTGTAAACAAGAGATAATTATAATACTGGTTCTTGTATGATAAGATTGAGCCCTTGCCATGGCAACAATCCAGGCAACCATATTTTTCTTTTTATCAACAGAGCCTTCGTTGGTCCATACCATTATGTGAACATTGTTTAGAGATGGGCAAGACATGTAGATTCAAGATGAATGAATTCACACATCAGACTACTGATCAAGCTGAATGTTTAGATATCGATGTGTCCAAAGGTATCATTTACGCTCCAAATTTACTTTCCCATTTCAAGATTTACTGAAGATTCTATGTATGCAAAATAAAATTCTGCATTTCATTGATTGGAAAAGCCTAGCCACTATTTCATAATCTACTTTTACAGGACGTATTCTTGGAAGGACAACCCTGAAGAGGTTAGGTGAGCTACCCGCAGGCTTTCATTTTATTTTATTTTTGCCCTTTTTCTTTCTTTTATAAACTGAAACGGGAGGAAATTAAGGGCATATGTTTGGAAGAGCTTTTAAAATGTTTAAATGCGTTTTTGACAACATTTGACACAAAATGTTAGAAGTGAGTCTAGCTTATAATAAAATAACTTGATGTGCGTCTAATAAAAGCGCTTCTAGCAAAGCTATTATAAGTGTAAGTGTTTTCTAGAAAAGTATTTTTAGTCCTATTTTCTCTAGCTAGAAATTGTGGGTTCTTAACACATAAGATAATATTTGCAGGTATTTCCGCACTCTGTTTAGTTCTAATAGCGATGGGGACGACAATCTGCTATGCCTACAACTCAAACAAAAAGGAAAAAGAAAATCAGCTTAGAATTGAAAGATTTTTGGATGAATACAGAGCGATGAAGCCAAGTAGATATTCCTATGCTGATATTAAGAGGATAACAAGTCAATTCAAGGAAAAGTTGGGTCAAGGTGCCTACGGAACAGTGTTTAAAGGAAAGCTTTCCTCCGAGTTACTTGTTGCTGTGAAAATGCTCAACAATTCAAATGAAAATGGGGAAGATTTCATAAACGAAGTGGGGACAATGTGTCAAATCCACCATGTCAATGTGGTTCGCTTGGTTGGAATTTGCGCCGACGGATTTATTCATGCTCTTGTTTACGAATACTTACCAAATGGTTCTTTGCAAAATTTCTTATCATCAGCAGATAATAAGAATTCATTCATTGGTTGGGATAAGTTGCAAGATATCGCTCTAGGAATAGCTAAAGGAATTGAATATCTTCACCAAGGATGCGACCAACGAATCCTGCACTTTGATATCAAACCACAAAATGTATTGCTAGACCAAGATTTCACTCCAAAAGTTTCTGATTTTGGTTTAGCCAAGTTTTGTGCTAAGGATCAAAGTGCAATATCGATGACTACAGCTAGGGGGACCATGGGCTACATTGCACCTGAAATCTTCTCAAGGAACTTCGGCAATGTCTCCTATAAGTCGGATGTCTATAGTTTTGGAATATTGTTACTTGAAATGGTTGGAGGCAGAAAAAACTTCAAAGTCATGGAGGACTCCACTAGTCAAGTCTACTTCCCAGAATGGATCTATAACCTATTAGAGCAGGGCAACGACCTACGAATTCATATTGGTGACGATGAAGCAGATGTTACAATTGCTAGGAAACTTGCAATTGTGGGTCTATGGTGCATCCAATGGCATCCAACAGATCGTCCTTCAATGAAAGTTGTAGTTCAAATGTTGGAAAGAGAAGGTAATCTAGCCATGCCACCTAATCCTTTTGCGAGCACTTCGAGTTGAAGGTGATAATGAACAGACCTCTATGCTGAAGAAGCACATGTTCCTGCATGGATTATACCACTCATTTCTGAGATAAGTCATTGAGTGTTATTATAATAAGATTGTTATGGTATTGTAGTGTTAAGGAGAGCTAGTTAATTAAGAAACTAGTTTGAATTCAATAAATTTCAATGTGAAGTATTAATTAGATAGCAATAATTCATCAAACTTGTAGTACATGTTATAATTGAGACTAAGATGGTGTCTCTTTTTCTATATATTCATATATAATGGTGTATTTTGAATTATAGAAAGGAAAAAAAGGGTGACCCATATTGTGGTAGAGCATATACCAAAGTGAATAAAATTGTTAGTATTTATATTTTTTTTCATACAAACACTTATGAAGGAAGAAGAATC